AAAAAAAAAAAAAAGAAGAAGCTACTCACTGTTGTCAAGTCGGATTCAGCTCATAGTAACCCCTCCTTGTCCTTCTGAGGCAATATCACTACAGAGTAGATTGCCCAGCCTTCCTTCCGAGGAGTGGCTGGTGGGAAGTAGCAGTCAAGAAAGAAAACAATATATATTTTGCATTAAGCAAATCTGCAGCAAAAGAACTCTTTAAAGTGTTAAAAAGAAAAGATGTCATTCTGAGGACTACAGTACACCTGACCCAATCCAGAAGAAGTAGCATCCAATTATTTGCCTCCAAAATGCTCAAACTGGGTGCCGTGAATTTGATTCTAACTCATGACGACCCATGCATGTCGGAGTAGAACTGGGCTCCAGTTTTCAGTGGCTCATTTTTTGAAAGTAGATCACCAGACCTTCTTCCAAGGTATCTCCAGATGGACTTAAACCCCTAAACTTTCAGTCAAATGCTTAGCTATCCACACCATCCTGGGACTCCTTCTTGTCTCTTTAGCACTTATCAATACCTATCATACTCTACATTTTACTTCATTTTGCTTATTTGCTTCCTTTCGTTGGAATGTAAGCTTATACAAGGAAGAGATTTTTGTCTGTTTTATTCACTGTTGTATTCCTAACACCTAGACTGGAGTCTGGTGCATCATAGGCATTTGAAAGAATGTTATGTTAACCTTGTTCGAACAATTTTTTAAACCTGCAAACAGATTGTGCTACAGGTTTTGCATAAAGCAGGGATGCAGGGCTACATGTGACCAAACACAGACTCAGGACCTGATTTCTTTAAAGAGCCAGTACTGAACAGGGAGGAGGAAGCTTAAGATTAGGTAGTATATTGGCTGAATCCTTGAAGTATGTTATCTGTAGCTTATTCTCTATATACACTTATATACATTCATATATGTACACAAAAGTGTATGTGTGTGTAATTTTGTAATCTAAGAACAGCAGCTTGGTGTATTTGAATGGATTAATTTTTCACATCTTTCAGAGTCTAAACAGTCCTTTCATGAACTCACATAAGTTTAACCAACTCATTTTTGGCAAAGAAGTTTTCTCAGAGAGGTTGCCTTGTTTAACCCCTAACAGGGATTGCTAACACATCGTCCTTTGACTTATTTCAAATTATCATGTACACTGGCAAATGCAGTGGCAGCCTTGTGGCCAGCATGTGCTCAGAGGTCATGGTTTGGTTGCAAATCTGTGAGCTGGAAGGTGAACTGGAGGGCAAAGTCTTGCACAGTGTGGAGGTCCAGCGGGGAGCCCACAGATTTAAGCGATGATGCATCAAAGAGTTGACCTAAGAGGTACACTAGGAAACTGTTCCCTGTTTGTCTGTCAACACTCTATTCCTGTAGAAATGTGCTACTTCAAGCCTGAACCGGCCTTATCAGTCTCTGCAGTTCCTTCTCCATCTTTGTTCTCCCTCAGCGGTAGACACTGACTCATGAGCGCTCCTGTGCTATTAGTGGTTTGGGTTGGTCTCTTTCCAGAGCCCCTTAGGAAACAGAATGTGAGCAGCAAGTTGCAATTAGAAGCGAAAAGCTATTTATACCATCCTTAATTTTTCGCACTTTGCAACATAGGATATTTCAGTGAAAAGGCACGCTTATTTTAGTCACTCATTTCTATAACACCTTTGACAGTACTAATGCAAGGTCTGCGGGTCTGGATTCTGATTCCTGAGGCTGTGTTGTTGTCAAAGACTTCAGAATTTTCCTCCCTTGTAGCAGGAAGGATAGTGTTGATAAGAAAGCAGAGCACATCAGAAGAATCGTCTTATGCTAATTAAGATAAAATGAGCTACTTGCACAGCTCTTCTTTACCAAATAAGTAGCTTTTTTCTAAGATGAGTTAGTCTGACGCTTCCTTAGACCATGCTAGGTTTATCAAAGCCACTGAGGAGCAAGCCCAGGGTATGTGTAGCTAAGTGAATACCTTGGAACCTGAAATGAATGCTGTTTTACTCCTCTTTGGAAGCTGCCTTGGTTGAGGGTGCGAAATGATGCTTGTTAATAAAGTCTGGGTTTTTCTTGCTTTTATTTTCCCATTGATTATTCTTATTGTTCCCTTCTGTAAACAACTTCATTATAGAACAAAACCCCAAAGCTGTACTTTTTTGGTATTCATTGTTCCAAGGAGTGTATTCTTGTTCTGTTGTGTTTTATCTTTGTTTCTTCATAGCAATGACCTTAGTATTTTCTCTGTACTAGTATGGAGGTGTGTTTCTTGATTTCTTCCAAGTGTCTGCACAATACTTAGAGTGTTGTTGTTGTTGTTGTTATGTGCCGTCGAGTCAAAACCCGACTCATAGAGTAGATCTATTCGATTGCACAATGATTTTCTGCCATCAAATCAGATAACAATTATTGAGCACCTATTTTATGCAAGCTATTAAGTTAAGTCCTATAAGTTTAAAGAGATGGTAAGGGCCTTCCCCATTCCTTGGTATCAATACCTGGTTTTGAAATATTCAAGAGAGATGCTGAGTGAATTCAGTCTATCTTCCTCTAGCATCAAAACAACCATCAGTAATAAGAGATAGAGAGTTTTATAATAGCACATTCATAGCTGCCAGTGGTAAATGTCATTTTAAAAGGTGCACAGATATGGTTTTCATTTCCTAGGACAAATTCAGGAGCTCTGGTAGCATAGTGCCTAAGGCACTTGACTGCTAACCAGAAGGCTGGCGGTTCAAATCC